TTTACACATTTACTTTTCTTGTATTTTAATTTAAGCCTGGGTTGCTCTTTTTCATTTTCATCCAGAAATGGCTGCTTCCACCAAATTCAAGGCTGTCCCATCCCCTGGGCTCCCTGAGAATGGTGTCTCAGAGGAACTGTAGCGATGAAGGATGACTGGCCTTGGCCAATGCAGACTCCATTCATTCCTCTCTTCGCCAAGAGGGGAGCTGGCGCACAAACTGTGTGCTTTTAACAGGCACTGTTGGAGCCAGCAAGGGCGGAGCCCAGGGGAGAGGGTACTGTGTGAGGAAGAAGGGGCGTGGTGGAATCAGAGGTGCTGGCACTGCCCTCACTGAGGAAGGTACCTTTGATTGCACAAAGCAAACCTTCTGGAATTAGGGCGAGCCCAGCACTTGGTCCAAAGGGGCAACTGGTCCAACCCACCATTTTCCAGAAGAAGACCTTTCCTCAGAACCAGGGAAATTCAGAGCTACTAAGATCCTATCTTATTAACCTCAGTCTTGCATTTCCCTTTAGGTTGAAGTGGAAAGCTCATTAGTGAGGAGAGCGGCAGCTCACACCAGGGTAGTGAAGTTTCCTCAACCAAATCAGAACATCTACATGTTTAGCCTCTTCCTCGAAAACAAAACCTAACTATTTTGTCCTTAATTTTTCCATCTTGACTATCAAGTCTTCCAGTAAAATATATAAAAATAAATTTAACCAAAAATGTTAAGTGCCCAGCCCTTCTCACATCAGTTTAAAATAAATACACCCTTCACTAAAATGCTCATGGAGACCTCACACAGTTCCAGAAGAAATGGGCCAAAAGCTCCCTAGAAGGGAGGCAGGGGATGGTGTCCTAGCACTGCACAAGCTCAGAACCATGAGACACTCACCCACAATGAGGCTAGCAGGGGGCATCCCACACCCACAAGCTGCCAACTAGCTGGGCGCTGCAGCCTCCTGCACTCAGGCCTCCTGGAAAGAGGGGATTTAGATGCTGACAAAGTGAAAGGCACTTCAGAAGCTCTCAGGTGCTCTGACAGACATGAAACCACATGGAAAGCAGCAGCCGCAAATACTCATCCATCTTCACCAGTCACCTTTCCCACAAGGAGCGCAAATTCACAAAACGCCATGAGGAGCCCAGGAGGCCGTCAGTGATGTGCTCTGTGTCAGTAAGAGCAGGGCCTTTCCCATCACACTGAGACTGTCCAGCCATGTGCCTGCCCTTCTAAGCCCCTCAGCAGAGGAGGCTGGTTGGAACAGGTGGCCATCTTGGGATTCTGAGGGAGGGCCACCTGGAAGGGCAACTTGATACTGCCCCATGCTGAATCCTCATGCCCCATTCCAAACCTGTCCTACAGTTTACAGCCACCTGATACACACCCCACTCCACATACACAAACGGCCACTAGAGACCCCCAGCCCTCCCAATAAGATTGAGAAATGCCAATTAGCCTTAGCCAGGTGGGTGCTGCTGATGGTGGGGAGGAAGGTCGGGGAAGACCGTGGCAAGGACACATTGCATTGTTTCTTCATTATCTGGCTCAGTGTCTGGTTCATGTCCAGTGAATGACTGAATGAACAAAGGCAGGCAGAAATCGCTGGGGGAGACTGTTTCCAAGGCAGAGTCCCAGAGCAGGACCCTTTGATCACGGAAGTTTCCTGTGGACCCCCAACTCTTTCCACCATGCTGCTGGGAAGTGTGCTCTTCACCCTGTTGAAGCCTCAGAGCCAGCCAGGAGAGACCCACTTATATTAACAGGGATTCTCTTCTACCAGCAAAGTACCTCTGGGAAGCGTGGCATTCAGCACCTGGCGAGATCAGGAGTTCTCCATTTTGGCAACACTGACATTTGGGGTCAGATATTCTTTGTTGTTGGGCTGTGCACTGCAGATGTTTAGAGCATCCCCTCCCCAAGCTGTGACAATCAAAAACACCTCCCAACATTGTTAAATATCCCCAAGGGAGCAAAATCACCCCTGGCTGGGAACCATGAGTGTAAATAAGATTGCTCTCCCAATACTATATTAAGAGAAGTGGCATTTTTTAAATGGAGTTAGGGAGGAGAAGTAGGTAATTAGGAGACAAGATGCCTGCGGGGGGGTGGGGAGGGTGCACATTCCTGGACAGAGAAGAGGACTGCAAGTGAACGTGTGGCTGCACTCACAGTGTCACCCTGATTTGTATCTGTGTTAGGAGAGAAGTAAGGTTTCTTCCTCACCCTCGCTCTTCCCTCTTTGGACTATAAGCTAGGCGAATAGTCTGGGTCATGAAATGGAGCTACAGTCTGGGCCTGAATTGTCTCTGGTTACTGTGTAAAAATGCATCTTGAGTTTGTAAAATGTTGAACAGAGCCCACTGCTAAGCTGTGCAATATCTATCTACATTCCCATTTTATTGAGGAGAGAAACCCAACCCTTGAGAAGCAACAGCACTCATACTGGGTCACTCCAAGAAAAGGAAAAATAGCATAGTCGTAGCAAAGGAATTAAACCCGATGCTGTGTACAGCCTGCAGCTCTACAACCCTTAGCTCAGAGCTCGGATGGAGCTCTCAGGGGCAGAGCTTTGAAGTGTTTATTAACAAAATTAGGCACAGACAGTGATAAAGATCTCTGCAGACACAATCAGTAGCTATTGATTGTCTTCACTTGCTGTGCTGCGTGTGGCCCTGAAGCAACTTCTGAAAGTCACTTAATTACCTTCTCGATTTCAGGAAAGGGAGGCCCTGCTGCCCAGCAGTCCCTGGAGCAGGGTGGACACAGGCAAACTGCTGCCCCTGGGAGAGGGGCTCCAGAAGAACCCACTTCCAAATGAAACAGGAGACACATTCCCAAGTAAAAACATACTTAAATTTTTGCTTTTCTACCTTTGTAAAATTGTCTTCCTGTTGCACCTCTTTGCTGGCCAGAGCAGGTGTGTGCCCATCCCAATACCTGACTGGGCTAGGGAGATCTCAGTCCAGGGGCTGAGACCCATGGCAGGCACTCAGGCAACAATGGATGGGCACAGAGATAGCAGGAATGGCCACATCTGCACTGAGGAGTGGAGGAAGGAGCCACCTCTCCCACCCGAGGGACTTGGGGGTGGGAGGGGAAGCAGATGGGCTGGGTGAGGACGAGGCTGGCACTGGAAAAGCAGTCTGAGCTGCCCTTGTGCAGCGACTCCAGCATGTTGAGGTGTGGAGCAGAAAGTGTAAGACAGGAACTTGGATAAATTCATGATCAGTACTTTGTGGAAACTTGAGAGCTCCTTGTTGATGATGACAAGGAGCAGGACAGTTTTACATATTTCCCCCAAGGCCGAGGTTCAGCATTTACAGTCCTTGCATGATGGCTGATCCTTCTGTAGTTGTGAAACTGTTGCTGTGACAAGATTTTCTCTCTGTCCTCTCTCTTTAAACTCAGGAGAATTACACGTATTTTGTATTCAGAACCAGAAGATTTGGTTCCTTCCTTCAGGTAACAGAGCTGTCCTTATACAACAGTGGGAAATCTGTAGGCATCAGGACACCAGTGGTCAGTGAGTCTGGACCCAGGGAGTACCGGACTGCCCAGATAACACAGGGCCCACTAGGAAAGCCATGTTAACAGGGCCAGGGGTGTGGTGGGGAGCTCAAAGGCCTGACTCAGGGCCCAGGGAGATGAAGGTAGGAGACAGCAGAGGACGAGGGAAAGCAAGAGGGAGAAAAGGGTTTTTTCTCAGGACTGATCCTGGCCTCCCGATGGCATCCTGTCTCCTCTCTGGGTCTAAGGGGTGGCACACAGCAGCCCCATATCTTCCCTCTCCCTCTGCCTCTTATGGACACAGAACACTCAGCAAACCTCAACTTCCCCCATGTCCATGGGGATGGGACAGCAGTGCTAACGGCTCACTGAGCAACTCTGCAGCCCTGATGAAGCATGACCCCATCCTCCTGAGGGGTCCCAGAGGCCTTGGGCCCAGCTGCAACTCCACCATACCTGCCAGGACAGCTGCACCCCTCTACTCATCATGGCCTCTCTAAGGCAGTTTACCAGGCAGCCCTGATCCTGACACATACACTCTGAGTGGCTGAGAATTATGAGGGGATTCTGCCTCCTTTGCGCACTACCAAAGTCAAGAATTTATAATTGCCTAAACTCACCCTTCCCAGGCCTTTTGCTGAAAGCCACCAGAATCACAGACTATAAAACCAGCTCAGAACAGAAAGTTACAGTGGCCCTTGGTCTCCCAGGTACAGATCATAGGACAGTTTAGTTGAATATTAGAGTTTTATTTTCCAGAAAAGGAGGGTGATTCAGGGCAAAAAGTAGCTAGAAACCTTAGAAAATCAACCTGAAGAGCCTTCCTCTTATGTTCTGCTGTTCTGTGAGCCCCCTACACAATCCAACCCCCACAGACACACCTGAGGAGGCCCCAAGCCCCCACCGTCTGCACTGCCCTTCTAGCTCACCCACCCCCACGGCCCTGCTGAACCACCTTGGCATCTTACGGATGGAGGCAGTGACGCACGAGTCTGTTATTGATCACTGGAACACCTACCTCCTGGACCACATTTAAGAACAGGTCTCTTCATAAACAGCGTGGATGGATCTCACAAATATAATGTCGAGTGAAAGAAGCCAGACAGGAAGGAGCACCTGCTGTATGATTCGACTGTTATAGGGTTCAAAAGCGGTTGAAACTAATCTGTGCTGACAGCTGTCTAGGCAGTAGTGACCTTGTAGGGGGCAGGTCTGGAAGTGGGGCCTGAGTGGATTTCTCGGGGCTGGTCAAGTCTCTTTCTTGACTAGGTACTGGTTACACAGGTGTGTTCAGTTTGTGAGAATTCACAGCTGAACACTCAGGGCGAATGCACTTTTCCATAAGTTTATTAACCTTCAGTAGAGAGTTTTCAATACCTCTGAACCACAGTGGGCTAACACGAGAGGCTGTTCTGCTTTGTGGCCCTCACTGGCACGCGGCCTCACTTTTGGAACCTGATACAGAGGCCTAGGCAGTACCCCAGGGGCCTAGGCCCACACTTACCGGCTGCAGCCCGTCCTCCTGCCTCCGACTCTGACTCGGGCGGTTGATGAAGGACCGTGTGGAGACTTTGTAGTGATTCAGCAGGCAAACGATGACCACGACCATCACTGTGACCACCACGACGATGATGATGATCTGGGCGAACTCCAGCTCCGCTGTGAAGGGAGAGGAAAGCGCTGCTAGCCACATGCCCCTTTGTGCCATTACCCAGTTCTCCAGACACCCACCTTCTTGAGGCACTCTGATCATTCCAACCATCAGGCACTGAAGGCCTCTTGCACAAATCCGGTCCTCATAAGGACCTCATGAGAGAGAAAATATTTTCCCCCAGATCTGCTGCCCAAGGTCCCTGCCAGACTTTGACATTCTAATAGCATTTGAAGAAAGGGAGACCCAGGCATGGGGGCCTTCCCACAGACCTCTCTGTTCAGCCTAACCTTGGTGCTCAGACAAACTCTGTCTTTGCAATTTTTTAATGAGAAAGGCCTTAGGAAAATATATTCTGTTGGCCCTACAAGACCTCTAGAGGTGCTGTGCCATGAGTGACCCCATTTCACACATGGAACTCAAAGTCAAGCCCAGTGTGCATGCCATGGCCACCTCATGGGCTAGCCCTCCTCAAGGGGCAGCCAGGCCCTCGAGTGCTGTCTCTTGGAATATGAAAAGCTCAGTGCTCTCCATCATCTAAACTCCGTTCTTACCAGATAACACCCTCCATACCCCCACCTCCAGGGGACTTAAGAAAGTCTCTCAAAACTGAAGTTGTTTCTCCTAGTGTAATCTCTCCAGGAAAGTTAAAGCCATCTTTATGGTTAAGTCAAGATTCCCAAAGCACATCCGCACAGGATCTACAGAGTACACTGAAGGGAAAATAGGTTTGTTGATAAAAAGCTCCAACCTCCCTTCCTCAAAGGCTTTGACTTTTTTTTTTTTTTTTTAAAGATTTTATTTTTTCCTTTTTCTCCCCAAAGCCCCCCGGTACATAGTTGTGTATTCTTCGTTGTGGGTTCCTCTAGTTGTGGCATGTGGGACGCTGCCTCAGCATGGTCTGACGAGCAGTGCCATGTCCGCGCCCAGGATTCGAACCGACGAAACACTGGGCCGCCTGCAGCGGAGCGTGCGAACTTAACCACTCGGCCACGGGGCCAGCCCCAAAAGGCTTTGACTTTATAAGTAATTTAGGGAAAACATCTCCACTGTCTCCAAGCCTGCGGGCTGGAGACCCATAAAACCATATTTTATGAGCAGTCAGGTCACCACTGGGTTTCTGACACTGCCATTACAAAAGATTTCCTGGGTACCATTACTACACACTTCACACACGAGTACAGTGCCATGGAGCTACTTCTAGAACAATAGCACGTTGAGTTGGCAATTAGAGGTAGGGAATTCAAGCCCTTCAGTTTTGCAGGGAGGAAGCTGAGGCTCAATGCTCAAGGTCAGCCCTAGAACCCAGACTTTCTGCTTTCTGGCTTCTAGCTCAAGGCTCTGCTGAGGGTTGCTCACCTGTTTTCCTCTGAGTCTCCCCACACACTGAAAAGAAATGATTGTCTGTGCAGGGGAATCAATTTAAAGAGCAAGAGGCTCTGGGAGGAAGTGAGGAAGACACTGTACAACTTTGTTGTGAGGTAGGGAAGTATGGAGTATAATGAAGGACAAGAGAAAGAGGGAAGAGCCCTGTCAATTGTGGTACTACCTCGAACTTGCAACACACACACACACAGGCACACATGGACATGTGCATGCATACAAACACGTGCATGGATATATACACAAGAGCATGATGCATTCATGTACACATATACACACATGTATGGATACACACACAAGGCATGTATACAAACACAGGCATGGACACACACACACACTCTCAAGAGTATCCTCATTCTCAGGAAGATGCAGGAAGAGACTGGGTAGAATCTTTCCCCAAATATCTACAGGTGAGTGTTCCTGCTATCCACATCTTGGGAACAGAGAAGCAGGGCTGGGAAGGGGGTAAACAGAGGGTCTTCCTGGATTCCATCATGTCCTGTCCTGTGGCACTGCCCTCCCCCCAACACACACCTGAAGGACAAAGATTTACAAACATGCCTGCTGCACTGGGCTGGACTGTGCTTGTCACTGGGCCTGTCGGGGGCCTAGCCCGGAGTTTACCTTGGAGAACGGTGAGGTGAGTTTGAGAGAACTGAACTGCTGAGCCCTATGTGGTGAGCCGCTGGGGCCAAATAGGTCTTCCAGGCGCACCCCCACCTGGCAGCAAAAGGGCTGATCCCAGTGGGCACGGCTGACTAAAGAGGCTTAAGAGACAGTGCCCCCATGCAGCTCTGGAGGCTGGTGGTCAGCAAGGCCCAGGTGCTGGGCTCCCCACCCCACTGCACCCTGCGTAGCTGTGATTGTGCTGGATACCCCCCGAGACCTAATGGCTGATCAGCAGGGCTTGCAGGGGCCTGGGTGCCCAGTTCAGCCCCAGGAGCACGTCCGAGCATCCACCTCCTGTGGGAAGGAAGCCACCAAATTTACGTACACTTAAAGGCCTCCCAGGGACTATCAGAAATCTTCATGGTGAGAACCTCCTGGAAAAGACTGAAATCGCTCCCAGTCAGAGAGGGCACAGACTGAGACCTTTGCAATTGGAGTACAGATATAAATGTGACCTCATTTATCCCCACAGGTGGTGGAATATGTGACATGTTAACCCAAAAAACTGTTTGCATGTCCAGGACACCCTGTGTCTTTTGGTGCCCATGTAACATGACACCCATGTGAAGCCTCCCTGGCCACGTGGCTGGATCCCTTGCTTTATCACTTATGACATGAGATGTGACTGTGTTTTTTCAGTCTGTCTCTCACACAAAACTATGATCAGGAACCTATTTTTATTTACTTTCTATTCTCGGTGTCAGGCATGGGGTGGTGCCTGGCATGTAGTTAAGCAGCTTCATCAGTAAGAGTCATCAATGAATGACTCTGGAGTACACACACTACAGCCAAGAGAGGGTTCTGGGGTGCATGGCTCCAGGCACATTCTGCCCACCTGCACAGGTGTGCTCCCTGTGAGGACAGCTACTGCTGACGGGACTGAGGCCTACATTGGCTGCAAAGCACAAGGAGTGCATCTCGAGGAACTGTGAGAATGTGCAGAGGGGCAAGCCACCAACCCAAGGACCATCACCACAGTGACGAGCAGATAAGGAGGCAGGGAGTTAATTCTGCTTAGGTCAAAGGCAGCTAATGTAGCATGAAGATTGAATCCAAAATAATGCCTTGTTTTACCAACGCTTATTTTGATTTTGTGGATGAATAGCACAGTGTTCATAAATTGCCTTTCAGGTTAAATCATGTCCTGGAATTAACAAATATTTTTCTCAAGAAAACTTAATTGCTTCATGGACATGGAAAGAGAGGAAAGCGATGACTACAGTGAGGGGTCTTCCACAAAGTCTTCATGGGTTAATTCCTTACTTGGAGGATATCTTTCTACATCATCTTTTCTTGAATATGGAAAGTTATACAGATAAACATTGGCAGCAGTCAAATTATATTTTCATAATTCTATGGACATTTTCGAGTATATTTGTTTTTTATTTGAAAAGGATTTTTATTATAAAAATAATGAAGACTTCTTTAAACAATATAGAAGGAAATGGCGTACAATGTAAAAGTTCCCCTTCACAGGCCTGCAGCACTCTCTGACCCCCCGCTCAACCCCACGCCGCCCTAGGGAGGAGCACAGTTCACCCATTGTATGTATCTGTGCATTTGCCTATTGAATAAGGGCTTTCTTCTTTTTAATGAATGGAATCATTGTACAAATACATTGTTCTGCTTTTTTTCACTTAATACATCACAGACATCTTTAAACAAGAAGATACACAAACTAACTTTATGGTGGCTATCTATTCCAGAAGACAGATACACTAGAACTTACATTCTCTAAGTGATGGATGTTTAGGGTGGTATTTTATGTTTTGTTTTGTTTTGTTTTTTCTTTTTTCTGTTATGTGTGTGCATGTGTATGATGTGTGCAAGTATGAGTGTGTGGGCTGACCCACATTTGTAAGTACCTCTATAGGAAAGATCCCTAAAATTGAAATTTCTGGGCAACAATATATATCCTTTTAAATGTTGATGGCTACTGAAAATCTGCCTTATGAAAGAGCCTTTCCAAGGAGAGGGCGTGCCCCCACACTCTCATCAACCCTGGGCACTCATGCTTTTCATCTGTACTAATCTGACAAGTGAAAATATAAAGCTTGTTTTATTTTGTATTTCTCCAATTACTAGTAATTTTAGATCTTTCCCTATGGTTACTGGTAATTGGTAATTTTCATAATCATATTAGTTCATATTAATTTATTTGTAGTTTTCTCACTTCTTTCTTATTTATTTGTAAGTAGTTTTTACATATTACGGATACAAATATTTGTCTCTTACATGTGCTGCAAATATTTTCTCCTAGTCCGTCACTTCTTTAAACTTTGCTGTGAGTTTCTCTGTAGAAGATATACATTTTTATGTCATCAAATAGTGTCCATCACTTTCCCTTATGGTTTCTAAGATTCCTGTTTGATTAGGAAGGTCTTCTCGAATATTCTAAAAATATTTCTTCTAAGGTTTTGTAGTTTGTATTTTTAGGTTGAGATCTTAATTTGCTCTGGATTTTATTTCTTTTGGTCCGAGATAGCACATAGAACATTTTGTATTGTCTGAAAGTCATGAATCTTCTGATGTCATATCATATTAAAAGTTCATCACAAGCAAAGGTAAGAAAGATCTAAGTTGTGGGGAACAATGTACAGAATCACCATCATCTTTGTTTTAAAGGGGACTACTTGCTCTTAGGCTGTGCTTCACCAGCTTTCTTGTCAACGTGCCATGTATACTGGGCCCTGCTGCGCCCCTGTGCACCTGAAAGGACCCCCTCTCCCCCTCAGGTGTGCAAACTTGCTGTGCTTCCTCCCTTGGCTCCACCTTCCTGGGCTGCTTAGACAGCAACTCTCAAGTGCTCTGCTCTCAGGACCCTTCTATACTCTTAAAAGCTACTGATTATTAAAACTGAAAATTTTAAATATGTATTCACTAAAAAATAAACTCATTACATGTTAACATATGTAACACAATAAAAATAATTGTATTCTTCAAAATAAAAAAATTC